CCGTCCGAGGCCGCTCGGGGGGAACTTACGGAGTATTTTTCGGCCCCGAAACCCCCGCGGCGATGGCGGCGCGGCGGCGGCGGAACTTCCGCCCCCTCGCCGACCGCCGCGCGATGCCGGCGGGGGGGATTCCCGTCGGCGAGTGGTTTCGCCTCCCCCGCCGCGAGGCGGACGAGGATTTCCCCGCCGACGCCGCGGAAACGGACGAGACGGCCGCGGTGTTTCCCCTCGCGGCGGAGATTCCCTCGCGGGGGTGGGGCCCAACGGCCCCAAACGACGCTGTCGCTGACGCCGAATCGGGCGACGGCGATGTGGACGGGGCCCTCGACGTCCTTTCGACCGACGCGGCGCGAATCGACGCGGTGGAGCGGGGGCGATTTCGCGCGTATCGCCGCGCCCTCCCGGCGCGCCCGCCCCCCGGCGCCCTCCCGCTCAACCTTTATGAGCAAAACCTCGAGGTCTGGCGCCAGGTCTGGCGAACCGTGGCCCTGAGCGACGTCGTGTTGCTCGTCGTCGACGCGCGGTTCGCGGTGTTTCACCTTCACCTCGGCCTCCTCGCGTACGTCACGCGCGCGGCGGGGAAGCCCTGCGTGGTGGTGTTAAACAAGGCGGATTTAATCCCCCGCGCGGTCCTCGAGGGGTGGCAGGCGTTTCTCCCGCCCTACCTCCGCTCGCTCGGGCTGCGCGTGGTGGGCCCGGACGAGGACGAGGCGGAAAACCCCCCGGGGGAGGCCGCGCCGATTGCGATTCGCCCCTTCACGGCGAACCCCGTCGAGGAATCCGCGATTTCGGCCCTCCCGACGAAGTCCGCGCGCCTGAAGCGAAAAGACGGGAAGCTCTACGAGAGCCTGCGCCTCGGGACGAAGATTCGCCCGGCCCCGACGCGCGCGGACGACGGGAGGGCGATCCCATCGACGATCCCCCCTGACGACGACGATGAAGGTCGTAATTCTACTCCAAATAGGACGGAGGAGGAGGAGGAAGAGGGGGGCAATCGGTGGTATTACGGCGCGGACGAGAACTTCAAGGGGAAATCCCGCGCGGAGCGCGGGCTCCACCGCGATGACCGGACCGGTCAGGAGCTGCGGGTTGTCTCGGCGATGATCGAGGACCTTCTCGGGCTCTGCCGCGGGCTCGCCCGCCGAGGCCTCCCCGCAGGGGAAGAAAATGAAAAAGAAGAGGGAAAAGGGAGGGCGCTCCCCCCCGTCCACGTCGGGTTGGTTGGATTTCCCAACGTGGGAAAGTCCTCCCTGCTGAACTGCCTCGGCGGGGCGAAGGCCGTCTCGGTGAGCGCGACCCCCGGCCACAGCAAACACCTCCAGACCATCCCCCTCCCGCCGGGCCCGTGGGGGCCTGGCGAAGAGGACAAATCCGACGGCCCTCCACGCCCCGAACTGGCGGAAACGCGGGG